GAAAAAAAAGGAAAAGAAATAGCAGCGAGCGGTTTGAGAAATTAGAAGCGTGTATAAGCTGGCTGTGAAGTAGCCTGCTGGGCGCTTACGCTCCCACACAGGAATTACTCTAGTGGGCTGTGGCGCATTAATTGGAGGCATGGTCTTGGCTTGAGAATTGCCCGGTTTGGAGTTGCGAAGCCGCTTTTTGCATGTACCCTAAGACGATAGTAGTCGGAGGCGCTGCCGACACGTTCTCCGGATCGTGCCATCTATCGGCGTTGCCCGGGTTTGATGACTTGCCTGATGCGCCCTGTGGCGGCCTGATTGACGCTTGAGAATCCTCCCACGCGGGAAACGAAAACTGGTCCAGAAAGATCCAGGATGGGAAGAAATCCCTGCCGACAAAGACCCCAAGAGGCGGTTGTGCTGCTTGGGCATGCATAGACAAGCAGCCTTTGCTGGTCTAGACCTTTTTCGCATTATGGATTTGTTCTCGGCGGCGGCAGAATTAAGGCACCCAAATGTAGGTAGACAACACCGCTCCTCCATGGCGTAGAATTCCACGCCTTCTAGCGCTCGGTACTCGGCATTATCCAGAAATGCAGGTGAGAATCTAGAATGAAGGAGCGAATCCGGAATGCAGGTGAGACTTGGCTGCTGGGCAGCTGAGCGGCGAGTGCATGTCAGTCTGAGAGACGCGACGGAAGATGGGTCATCGCGCCAAGACCTGACCCATTAGGTGCAGCCGCGGCTGCGCCTGAGTGTCGAGCAGACAGCATGCAATCTATCCGACTAGGTGGTACACAGGAGCGTCGGTGCATTGCTATTTTTCGTGAGTCCCCCAGTATCTTTCGCCCTCACCGCATCCTTCCTGCTGCGAGACAGAAAGTGTGCTGGTCGCCTACTGCGCCTTGGCAGCTCCTTGCGCTGTCTTGGACGAGAGGCGGGTAAGGCCCAGTCAGGCGACCCTGCACGGCTGCCTGGTGGCGTTGGTAAAAATCCAGCAGTCCAAGGTGGTGCATTGTCTGGCACTGGGTTTCTAAATGGATGGCTCTGATGGAATTCGGTCGGACGGGGTTCGCAATGGGTTGTTACCACCCAGCGCACGGAAGGTCCGCCAGGACCGGATCCGGGTCCGGTGACCTGGGTTATTTGAGCCACCATACCCATAACTACACCTCCCCCTCCGTCGCCGCCGCCCGTTGCGGTCCTTTTCCAGGTTGTGGGAGATATACCCCGTGGATGGGATGTATCCACCACTGTCACTCCCGTCCAGGTCTTGACATCTCCAGCCTCGTAGCTTGATATTTGAGCTCTTCTGAAGGCAATGACCTGATAATGTGGAGGATTGGCTGGAATTTTTTGCTTTGGTATCTGGCGGCCATGTCACCTTGCGGGTGGATTCCTCGATCGCCTGAGCGGTTGCCTCGTAAGGTGGAGCTAAACAGAGGGAGCTAAGGGAGCGCGCTCACAGGTGACCCAGGGCGAGAAGACCTGGAGAGCATCATAAGACAGATGTTCACGATATAAAAATAGGTATAACAACAGGAGTAAAGACAGGAATAAAAACGGGAATAAAAACGGGAATAAAAACAGGAACAAAAACAGGGAGAAAAGCAAGAATGGGAACAAGAAAAAAGATAAAAACAAAAACAAAAGAGTAAAAAGCATGTTCTAACCTGTTAAATCCAAATAGGAGGAGGCGCAGCTGAGGTTAATTTTGACGCAAGGAGGAGCCCGAGCGGGGTCGATCCGTCGGACCGCACTCCGTGTTCCTCGGCGTCGAAAAGAACCCGATCGATATAATCACCCGCTCCTGAAAGGTGCAGGATATGCCCAATGGCGCGATGGATAGCAAGTAAACGAGGTGAGGGGGGATCCATATTCCGGTTTTGCAAACCCAAATATTTGCCAACAAAATCGTCAAATGCATCGATGCGATAGGTATTTGGGGGTTGGTCGAAAACAAGCTCAAAAAAGAGTTGAAAGGAGCCAAAACTAGGATGGTGCTCAGTTGATAAAGTGATAGCGTTAAATGGCCGATCAATTTCTGCGCCTTCAATTAGGTGGACAATTCCCATGTCAAACATGTTCAAAATGTCCAATGCAGCCTTTCTCGCTGGACTCTGCCATGTTATGAAGGTCAGCCCGCAAAACCTCATATGGAGACTGGGGAAGGAGACAAAAAAATTCCCTCCACGTACCAGCAGGGAGTCTGGAGCTTTTGTTAACGAATGCGGAAGGATGTGGGCAACCTCCAAAGTCGTTACGTCGCGGGGCTCGATTATACTGCCGTCGTCGTCCCTGGCATCCTTTGGTGCGGCTTTTCGGCGCCTAAGGGCTTCGGTAACATCGAATTTGCGTGAGATAACGCAGCGGTGGCGATCGCGCACGAGGCAAGTGCCGCGGAGAGCCGAGAGACGTTCTGGCGTGCCAGCCAAGGATTGGGGCAAAGAAGAGCCCTGGGCCCGTTGGACGGCGGAATGCGTGATGGGAGACAGCTGGGGAGTCTTATTCGTAGCGGCCTTAACTGTGTAGCAAAAAGAGAATTTGTTAGAATAGCCTGGCGGAGAGGACGCGGATAGAGAAAAGATGGGGGTATATATCTTACGCGGCATAAAGAAGTTCCGCAGCAAGTAATCTGCAAAGGCATTCACTGAAACGAAAAGGCGCGCTTTCACTTCCGGGTCGCTAAAATCGACATCCGGATCAGTGATGTTGCCCGCGAGAGGGAGATCCAGATGATTGAACAAGCTCGACAAAACGAGGCATTTGGAATCGTCCGACAGCGCATAGTCGTGGGTGAACCGGATGAGGGCGGGGAGGTTGTAGGCCTGTTGCTGCTGCTGCTGCTGATTTGCGGCGGCGGCAGCCTCGCAGTGCTAAAGAATGTGGCGCATACGGGCGTCGGCCTGGACGCGCGTATCTTCTTCCATGATGGGCGTCTCGGCCGCAGCGCGCAGTATGGCTTCGAGCGAGGCATGCGTTGCTTCTCAGGTCCATGGCGTCAGCGGGCGGGTGGTTTGATTGGTCTGTGCTGCGGGAAGCCCCACTTGAACAAGGGGGGCGTTGGCTTGCCCGTGCAAAATGAGAAATGCCCGATTGTTGCTCTACTTCTCGCCGATTGTTTTGATCTCTTTGGACGTATCCGTATGTTGTTCACAAGGCCGGAAGGGGTTTATCAGAGAAGGATCCAGCCTGGTGCTGTTATTTACACTGCCAGCAGAAACGCAACTCCCCAGCCCAGCCCGCCCTCTGTGCCACCCACATATGCTATCTACCCAGGCGACAAAAAGTGCCATCCTGTCAATACGTACAGGAACAGACCAACACCAATCCAACCGGACAGGGTTTGGGGGTAGACCTGCCGCGTGACCGCTGCCGGTGGCAGCTCGAGAACATCCAACCCCTCACCACGGACCGTAGACGTTTCAGCTGCTGGAGCTTCTGTTGCCTCCGGCTGTGGATGGATACAGCGCGGCGGCCCGGTACATCTACGTCGCCACGCCCAGTAAGGACAAAAGGACGTCGCGGCGGGCGGGGATGGTCTGGACGCGCCGCCGCCGGGACCCAGGCGCCCCCGGAGCCCCCAGAGCGAATGGACCTACGTCGATGACGAGGCGGATCTCGACTGTCTGCGTTTCTCCTTCGCTGCCACTAGGCACAAGGCTACCTTGGAAGAGGTTTGGGAGCTGACTCTACTTGAGCACGTCGACGCAGTGCAAGTCGCCATCGTCCAGACAACCATACAGGTGCCGACAGAGTTTTGATTCTTTTTCTATAAAGGAATTCTATGTCTGTGCAGAAAGCGGATAGGATCAGTTTTGGCACAAAAGGGCGCTAGTGCTTCTTTGCGGGCAAATATCATCGTAGAAAAGCTGGACGCCCACCGAGGGTTTATCATGTCGAGGGTAACCTGGGTGGGAGCTTCAGTATTCTACGTACTATTCTCGGAAACACATACCCAAGATGGGCGATCGCGCTGGTTCTATCTTTATACCGAGCCAGCTGATAAATGGCAGCCAAGCCGGGGGTGGCAGATAATAGCAGTGCTCTCGTTAGCCGGTACACGAGCGGTGGGTGTCGGGCATGTTTTCCGCCGTCGGCAGCAATGTTCCGATCCGGGACTTCGAGGATGTACATACAAACCTTTGAGAATGTAGGAGTGTTTCTCTGCCAAGACAACCGCCGTGATGAATGTGTGCTTCTCGAGAGCCGACGGCCGAGGTCACCGTGGGAAAGAAAGGGACCTTGTTCGAGGCTGATGATAGCAGACGACTTCTGGCCATGTGGCTATATTTAGGCCTCCCATAATGTTCGGACCCGGCCCTCCAGCTGTACGAAGGAGCTGTGGATGGGCCAACAGAGGGTAGGATTTTGCTGTTCTTCCGAATGCGACGGCGCGCGTGGCCTGCGAGGCACGGTTTCCCCCTGGCAAGGAAGAGACTGCATTCTCTGTGGGGCTGATGTGTGGACGGGAACGGCGGACATGGACCGCACTGCGCCGGTGGCGGTGGCGACAGCCGCCTGCCGTTTAGATGATGCCCAGCCCGGGATTGTGGTAGCATGGAAGGCAACACGCACAATAGCGTGAAAACGTGGGCTCGCCTGACCTGTAAGTGACAAGCTTGGAGTATCTCATTTAGGCTCCGAGAAAGGGGGACGAGCAATATGCGGCTAAATATGTAAGGATACGTGCTTCTTTGGGGGTTGGCTGGAACTGGGATGCTGCTCGCCTCCGAGCTACCCCAATAATTTAATTACCCTGAGATAGGGGCTGATGCTGTATACCACCCAAAACAGAACGACTCCGAGCACCTGTCCAGCACTGACTGCTCAAGCACGAAGGGCCAAGCAACGCAATGCGGACAAAAGGTACTGGACGGTGGCTATCGCCCATTATTCCGTTCCTTTTCGGCCAGCGGGTTGTCTCTCGTCGCAGGCACGGCAATTCTATGTTGGGGAAGGGGAGAGTGGGGAAACATTGCTGGACGTGAGGAGACAACAGACAGCGATCTGTAATCTAAACGGTATGCGTTGCGGTGCCATCGCTGTCACCCTGGAATCGACACCATTTTTGGCGGGGCTTGACGCACGAGGTTTGCGTTGTGTGTGACGGGATAAAAAAAGATAATATCAGCAAGCCAGCCCCGTCTCATCAGGCACCAGATGATAGCTATCGCCACCGAATAGTTCTCGCGAGACGTCACTAACACGGCGCGGTCGACTCTCGAGGCCTTTGTTTCCCACCGCACCCGCTAGAAGAACCAGCATCTCCTCCAGGCCCTTTGAATCGCCGGAATGCGTTGGACCGCGAGTGTGCTGTGGGCGGCTGCGGCCGCGATGGTGGGCATTGGTGGGTGCAGATGCTCTGATATGGGATTGGACCTCGTGTGGTCGGCTCAAACGGGGTGCGGAAAGCGGGAATGAAGCTGACAAAACATGGCCGACGAGGGAAGCAGACGGCGTCGCGGGCCAGACGACGACCGTGGTGGACCGCGACACAGGCTTCACGTTCTCGTCGTACGTCGGGCGGTACAGTCTGGGCACCAACACGATCCAGATCCGAGTGGCGGTGCCGAGCGGCGCGGGGGCCAACGAGGCATACGACGCCGTGGTGCAGATCGTGGCGCCGCGCGAGATCGGCTGGGTCGGCATGGCCTGGGGCGGGTCCATGACCTACAACCCGCTGACGGTGGTGTACCCGAGCGGGCAAAACGTGGTGGTCTCGTCACGATGGGCAACGTGAGTGTGATTCCGTGCCGCCACAACAAGAACCACAGCTCCTCTCCTGCCGGTCTGCTGACCCTCGAGTTCCCTGGGTGCTTCGCGTCTGTAGACAGCACTCGGCCCCTGCTAGCTACGTGGGCGCGTCATACCAAGTCCTCAGGACGGGCACGCGGACGAACGGCACGCACTGGCAGGTCACGGCCAAGTGCAGCGGGTGCACTGCCTACGCGGGCCGCACCGGCGGCACGACCTACGTCCGGCCACAGGCCACGAACCGGCTCGCGTTCGCGTCGGCCCGGCAGGCGCCGTCGCAGCCGAGCTCCAACACCAGCGCCATCCCGTACCACGACGTCCACCAGTACTGGAACCACGACTTCACGGCGGCGGCCAACGCCAACTTTGACGCGCTGGTCAAGCGAAACCTGAGCTAAAGTGGGATGAGAGGCGGCATAGGCTGTAGTCAAGGCAGTTGTTGGTGTGGCTTGGGATGTCAGGGGGCCGGATTCAGGAGAGCACTTCACAGGGAGAAAGACCGAGCAACATTATAAATAGTACCCGCATAACGAGTCGGAATTACATGTAGTCTGGTGTGGAATCCGTGCTTGTCGTTGGCTCTGTGGGTGGATGATGTGCTGCCAGGCAGTTGCCCGCTCTGCGCCATGCCGTGACATGGAGGGAGGACGAGAGATGAGCGCGGAAGCACATGGAAATTGGCCGCGCTCGAGCTTGACACACGTGACAAGATCACACCCTGCAGCCCCACTCACCTCTTGCTACCCCTCCAGCGACGTCACGGCAAGTTGGCGCAAAAATTTCCCCTGCGGCTCCGTGGGGTCACTGCTGCTGCTGCTGCTGCTGCTGCTTGCTGCAAGGCATGGCGATCTTGGGTCATCAAAAGCAAAAGCACCCTTTTTGACCTCATTATTGCTGGTGTTCTTGCCTTTAGAAATCTGCTATTCTCTTCTATTTTGAAACCTCTGCGCTCGTGTTATACTGCTAGGTCGGCTCAAGTCGCCTTAGGCGCCTTACTCATTCATGGCGGGCGACCTTTTCGCACAAATCGCCGCCGGCGAGTATATCGCTGTACTGACCTCGGAGCCTGCTCGCGTCCTGATCCGCGACCTTGTCAAAGATATTGCGCCTGCGCAAAACACCCCGGCACCACAAGCCGCAGTCTCAGATGGAGAAAGTTGTGCTCATTCGCCAACCCTAGCCCAGATTGCCGCAGTAGGGTTGGCCGCTTTCAACGCGTTCCTACAGCTGAACGTTACCGGCCCGGTGCTCGAATCTGTGCGCTCTGTCGAGGTTCTCTTCGAGAAGGACGTTGAACTTGTCTCTTCGGCATCAGAAACCCAGCGGAAGAACGCCAGTGCCCGTGCGCTCTGTCTCAAGTCCTTGGACGTGGATGGCGTCTCGGTTTACCCCTACATCCCAAACATCGAGCTATTCTGTCTAGCACGATATACGCTGGCCACGCGCCTCTCTGGGCTAGATCCCGAGCTCAAGGACGCGGCTGATCGTGGTGACGGCGACCCTGGCCTGTCTAGCCTGCCGTGGCTGCGCCTGCGTGTACTTGTTTGGCATCACAAGCTGTTCATCCAGCCATCTCTGAGTTCAGGGTCCGGCTTCAACAGGGGTGCCCAATGGAGCGATGTACCTAGCCTGCAAGAGCAAATCATCAAGTCGTTGGCCGATGCCGAGCAGGACACCTCCACCTTGACCCAGCGTCACAAAGCACAGTTCCTTCTCGAAAAGTCCAATGTGTGCATCATGCTAGGACTTGATGCAAAGGCCAAGCAGGCACTGGCCGAGGCCTCAGAATCAACTGGATTCACGTACGCGCTCTCTGGGGCTCTGGGGAAGCGCACAAAGTTTCAGGAGAAAAGCACCAGCCAGCTCGTCGTGCTGGCCAAGAGCGCGGCCGAGGGCGACACCGCCAAGGCCCCGGGCGCACAATCTGCACCGGAGTCGCTTCCGCTCAACGACGATACGCTGCTAGAGCAGGTCGACTTTACCGACGCAAAATCCAAGACCTCTGAAGAAGATTCATCCAAGGGAGAGACGTCAGCTGGAGTCCCAGAAGCGCTGCGAGGAATGGCTCCAGACGACCAGCCGCACCTCTCTCCTTTGGACCAGATCATACTCCTCGCCGAGGCTACCATCAAAGACGCCTTCGCTCCAACTGACTCGCTGACTTCGGAGGAGATCTTGCCTTTTGCTGAGCGAGTTGTTTCCGACACATCGACGAACTGGCAGATTTACACACATGCACTGCTTGTACGGTCAAGAATCGAGATACATCGAAGCAGGACGGTCGAGCGAGGCGTACTACAAATGCAGGCTGTGGTGGATCAGGTTATAGTCGATACAGAAACACCGACAATAACCGAAAGCACCAGCAAAGTGACGACTGGCAGTCAGGAAAACGGCGCCGACGAAAGTTCAACGCAAGATGCTGCACCGGCCATAGAGATCACGGCGCCGGACGAGGCGAAACCCGTGCCAAACAAGCCCACCTCGTTCTTTCCCAAGGCGAAACCATCTGAATCCGCCCCTGCCCATGTCCGACTCCAGTTCATTCACACACTTTCCTCTCCGCCGCGCTGGCACCTCGAGTCCGAGCTAGCCTTTGCATGGACCGGGGTTGGTTCCCTGGTCGCCGCACTCGATATCTTCAAGCGTCTGCGTCTCTGGGCCGAGGTCTCTCTCTGCCTCGCAACGGCCGGCGCGCAGGGCGAGGAGGATGATGCAGGGCGCGGCTCGGGAAGCGAAGAGAAGGGGCGCGCCGTCCTGCGCTGGCGGCTCTTCCAGCCCACTGACCCTGTCGCAAATCCCGGGCCCGGCCTGGAGGATCTGGATGTGGACGTGTCAGAACTACGGTCATCGGCCTTCATGGGGCCCGAGCGGGACCCCCAGCCGTCAGAGTCGCCCCGTCTGTACTGCATCCTTGGAGATATGGAGCAGGAGCCCGCGCACTACAAGAGGGCGTGGGAGCTTTCGGGGCGGCGGTATGCGCGTGCACAGCGGTCACTAGGCGAGCACTATCTACAGAAGCGCGACTGGGAGGCAGCTCGGGAGGCATACATCAAAGCCACAACAGCAAATCGGCTCAGCCCGGAGATGTGGTCGCGCCTCGGAGACATCAACCTGCGCCTCACTCGCTTTGCCGATGCGGCCGATGCCTTCCGACGCGCCATCGGTTCTGCAGGCGCTGCTGAGGGTGGAGAGGATGCCCGAACTTGGAGTAACCTCGGGAGTGCATTGTACAGCATGCACTGCGAGGCTGTCGACGAGGCGAAGAAGAAGAAGCAGGGTTCCGAAAGCGGTGCAGGCGGTGAAACTCACATCGATGCGGCCGTGAATGGAGGCGGCGATGACGCCGACGTCGACCCAGCCCTAGTCGCCGGCGCGAGGAACGACCCAGCTACGCTGCTCACGCAGTCACTTGCAGCATACAAGCGGGGAGCATCCATCGCGCACGACAACTGGCGCATCTGGGACAACGTCCTCACTCTGGCGGCGCGGACGAAACCGCCCGCGATCAACGAGATACTGCCAGCCCTTCGGCAAATTATGCGAATCCGAGCAACCGAGGATGCTCTCGATGTCGACGTACTCAAGCTGCTGGTGGACCAGGTGCTCGTGTCGGCGCCCAAACCCGACTCTGCAGGGGGAGTGTACGAGCCCCCACGCGGGTCGCTGCAGAGGCAGGTCGTCGACTTCATTGAGGGGTCCGTAGTACCGCTCATCACGGTCCGCTCGGAGCTGTGGGTGCTGGTCGGGCGCGAGAGGGCGTGGCGGCGCGACTACGCGGGCGCCATCGACGCGGCCGAAAAGGGGTGGCGCGCCGCCATCGGCGGTGGCG